GCGGAGGACGAGGAGGAGGATGAGGCACGCAAGGCCAGGCTTTCGCCTCAAGTTTGCGCAACGTCGGAAAAGGCACGCAGGGCCGAGGCTGCTGCACGCTGCGCTGCCCTTCCTGGAGCTCTCGACCCTGCTGGTGTGGGTGCACGTCGCTGCCCCCCCAGACCCCCGACGTCGTGATTTTTCCACGACGCCGACCTCCAGAAGTCTAGACCCCTTTCCCCGCGACCGGTTTCTCATCCTGAGTCGTGTTTGACGTTCCTGGGGCCGGGTAGGGGCCCCCGGAGGCCGAAACTAGCGAAAAACCTCCCGTCGTGTTTTTTGTTTTTCGCAGCGCGAGGAGGGTCTAGGGTTAGGTCGGGCCTGTCCCCCATACAGGGGGATTTGGGGCGAAACCTTAAACATACTCCCCAACAAATACCCGGAAAAGGCTAAACAAATAATCAAAAAATAGTCCCCAGTGCCCCAAGAGGCCCCCAAGACTGCCCAAGAGGCCCCCGAGACGCCCAAAGAGCGCTCGAAGACGCCGAAGATGACCCCAAGACGGCCCAAAAGGCCCCCAAGACAGCCCAAGAGGCCTCCAAGACGCCCCAAGAGCCTTCCAAGAGGCCTCCGAAGAGAGCCCCAAGAGGCCAAAATCGTTGATTTTCATTGGTTTTTGCGAACTGGTCCGAGGAGGTTTCTTTCAACTGCTTCTTACACCACAGAAATTATGCCATACACCGCATAGCGTACACCACACAGCTTCCGACAAACTGCCTACCCCATATCAATTACATCACGTAGCTTGTAGCCCATATCGCACATCATTTACAACGCACCACAAGACATACACCACACAGTCCATCACGTCGCTATCTAGCACCACGTGCATCGCACATCCAAATTGCGCGAGCCTATTGTTTGGGGCCTGAACGAAACACAACAACATACTACGGCAGGTTCGTGTCGTGCCGACCCCAGCGTTGGTTTTTGGCACCGCAGGGATCGTTAAACCTTGAACGATCGGCCGCTGCCGCAACGTCCGATCGTTCAACATCGATCGATTCTGGGTCGCCAGCGGCGTTCAACCTTGAACGCCCACGCTGGGGTCGCCGCTGGGTCGACACGACGCAAACCTACCGTAGACTTGCAAGCGAAGACCTTACATGCTCGAACGGCCTGGCATCACACGGGCACGGGGCGAACCCGCCCGCGCCCACCCGGCGCCCACAGGCCACACACCAAGCGCCCACGGGCGGGCACTCACCGGGCACCCCTGAGTACAAGCGACGCGTGGGAACCGAGGCCGCGCTAACGGCGATGCTGGTTAACGGCGAGGTTGGGAATCTGGTGTTTGTGACACCGAGCTCGCGCAGAACAAATGGTAGGAAATCACGAGCCACACTTTCCTGCATGTCAACATGTGCAAGTGCATCGAGCGAAAACGACGCAGCGAATTGCAGGAAAGCGCGAACCACGCGTTCCTACAACTGGTTTGGCCACGGACCACGCCTTCCTACAATCGGATGTTCTACCTCCCTGTTAGCTAACACACCGTTAGCGCGTCCACGGGGGAGGACATGAATGCGCAAGGAACACGAGCAAGAACACGAGGGGGGCGACGACACGGACGGGCTGGCGAGGACGGAAAGCCGTACGCACTCTTCTCGCGTGGGCGCGGCGAGGCACCCCCAGGAACGCCACCCCTGGCGGACGGCGGCAATGAGGAGAGAGGAGGGGGGGGCGAACGGGCGAGAGCGACTGTGGCCAAGAAACGCGGCTGGGTGAACAAGAGGGTACCGATACCGCTGCTCACGGACCCGCCCATGGTGCAGTCAGCTGCGGCGACGAGGGCTCTCTAGGACGAGCAGCGAAGTCGGTATGTCTTCCACGATGGTTTCCCCCAGGGCCGTAGGCGACCCGAGGAGGAGAAGGCGAGGAGGGGGATGAGGAGGAGGAGGAGGAGGAGGAGGAAGAAGAGGAAGAGGGGGAGGAGGAGGAAGAGGAGGAGGAGGGGGATGAGGAGGAGGAGGAGGAGGAGGAGGAGGAGGAGGAGGAGGAGGAGGAGGAGGGAGAGGAGAGGAGGAGGGGTAGGAGGAGGAGGAGGAGGAGGAGGAGGAGAAGAAGGAGGAGGAGGAGGAGGAGGAGGAGGAGGAGGAGGACGTGTCGCCTAAGGTCTTCAGAGAATCCCTCCATGTCTCCCTCGTCTGAACGGCAAGCGCCGGGGGGGGGGCCTTTTCAATCCGGTGCCACATCCTCGGAGGGCTTCGGCGGGGCAGGGCCGTGAGCGCGAGCCGCGGCCCTGCGGTAGACGCGCCTGGGTTGTCTCCCTCCGCGCGCTCGGCCTTCGTGGGGCACCCCCGAGAGCCGAGGGCCGGCACGCGGCGCGCGCCGGCGGGCGCGGAGGCTTGAAAAAGATGCGGGCCCGCCTGCCTGGAGGAGGCGGGAAAAAAGGAGGGGGGGTGGGAGGTGAGGGAGGGGGGGAGGGAGGGAGGGAGGGGGAAGAAGGAGGGAGAGAGGGAGGGAAGGGAAGCAAGGGAAGGGGGGGGGGGAGAAGTGAGGTAGGGAAGGAGGGAAGCGGGTGAAGGAAGGGAAGCAAAGGAGGGGGGCAGTAGGGGAAGCAAGGGGGAGGTAGGGAAGGAGGAGGGGGGGAAGTAAGGGAGGGGGGGGAGGGAGGGAGGGAGGGGGAAGAAGGAGGGAGAGGGGGAGGGAGGCAAGCTAGGTGCGCTCGCGTCATATCTGACATCCTACCCCTCCCTCCCATCCCTTACCATGGCGTAGATCCCCTCTCTACTCGGACAGTCGGATGTCGAGCAGGGCAATGATCCCGAAAGGGTACGCGATGCATTGTAGAGCACGGCATAGCATGGCGTAGAAGAGCACCGCAAAGCGTAGCATCAACCTAGCATTGCATTGCATGCCGTGGCATGGCACGGGAAATGTCGCCAGCGCTGCAGCGGAGGCACGAGTCGGAACGAGCGGAAGCGCGGAAATGAGGCCATCGCTGCAGCGGGAGCACGATTCGGAACGAGCGGAAGCACGGAAATGAGGCCAGCGCTGCAGCGGGAGCACGGTTCGGAATGAGCGGGGCCGGAAAATGAGGCCGGCGCCTCAGCGAGAGCAACATTTTGGAAACAAATGCAGGCGAAAACCCAACTCCGGGGAATCCTGTGTGTAAAAAACCGTACGCGGGGGGGGGGGGGGGGGGGGGGGCTAACTACTTTCAGCGCAGTATCGGGGAAGAGGGAGAGTAGTACTCAGATTGAAAAATTGATTGTGGAAACAAGGGAGGGGCCTGTGGGTGGCGGCTCCCCGGAGGGGCCTGTGGTTCGAGCCTCTGGTGGGTGGCGGCTCCCCGGAGGGGCGTACGCCCCGCTGCGTATGCGCCGCCATCCCCCGAGGGGCGCCCACGCCGCGGGGAGGAAGGGAGCCGCGGAGGGGACGGGGGACGCGTGTGGGGAGGAGGACGAGGAGAGCGAGGGAGGTGGAGGGGGAGGGGGAGGGGGAGGAGGAACAGGGGGAGGTGGAGGGGTAGGATGAGAGGAGGAGGAAGGAGGGAAGGGAGGAGGAGGAGGAGGAGGAGGAGGAGGAGGTGGAGGAGGAGGAGGAGGAGGAGGAGGAGGCAGGTGGAGGAGGAGGAGGAGGAGGAGGAGGAGGAGGGGGGAGGAGAGGGAGGAGGAGGAGGAGGAGGAGGAGGAGGAGGAGGAGGGGAGGGAGGAGGAGGTGGAGGAGGAGGAGGGGGAGGAGGGGAGGAGGGAGGAGGACGGAGGGAAGAGGAGGATGGAGGAGAGGAGGGATGGGGGAGGAGGAGGATGGAGGAGGAGGAGGAGGAGGAGGGGGAGGAGTGGGGAGGAGGAGGAGGAGGGGAGGAGGAGGAGGAGGAGGATGAGGAGGAGGAGGGGAGGTAGGAGGAGGAGGAGGAGGAGGAGGAGGAGGGAGGGGGGGAGGAGGTAGTAGGAGGGATAGTAGGGGGAGGAGGAGGAAGAGGAGGAGGAGGAGGAGGAGGGGAGGAGGAGGAGGAGGAGGAGGAGGAGGAAGGGAGGAGGAGGAGGAGGAGGTAGGTGGAGGAGGAGGGAGGAGGAGGAAGGAGGGAGGGGGAGGAGAGGGAGGAGGAGAAGGAGGAGGAGGAGGAGGAGGAGGAGGAGGAGGGAGGAGGGAGGAGGAGGAGGAGGGGGAGGGAGAGGGAGGAGGAGGAGGAGGAGGAGTGGAGGAGGAGGAGGGAGGAGGAGGAGGAGGAGGAGGAGGTGGAGGAGGAGGAGGAGGGGGAAGGAGAGGGAGGAGGAGGAGGGAGGCGGAGGTGGGAGGAGGTGGAGGAGGAGGATGAGGAGGAGAGGAGGAGGAGGAGGAAGGAGGAGGGGAAAAGAGGGGGGGGAGGAGGAGGAAGAGGAGGCAGGAGGAGTGAGGTGGAGAGGGAGGAGGAGGAGGAGGAGGAGGAGGAGGGGGAGGAGAGGGAGGAGGAGAAGAAGGAGGAGGAGGAGAAGGAGTAATGCAAACCCCAAATGCATCAAATATTATGTAATGAGCCCGCCCTCATAGGCCCCTACAAATATTCACTTCCACTGAAAGAAATGCCCCATTGGAAGACAACATCTTGAAAATCCGGATGCCTCCCAAATTCCAAAACACCATCATGTCTGGGACTCCAACGAACACAACAAATCAACGCAACTGATGTTCCCTGCCTGTCCGACATCGTGCCGAAACATTGTTTTTGGCATGTTAACCATGCGAACCCTTGAAACGGCTGTAAACGCTAAAACAACACGCGCAACATAACGGCGAAAACCGCTCTTTGGAACGGGACCGCCATCCATCCGTGAAACTGCTGCAAACTTCTATCACGGATGTGCGCGGCGCTGAAGCGAAAACCACAATTTGAAAACGGCCCGCCCTCCATCTGTGAAACTGTTGGATTGTTTTTCTAATTCGAGGTAATACATAATGGTAGAAGTAAAGCCTCACGCGCAACGCCTGGCACGCCCTTTCGACCAGCCTCAGGGTACGACAGGGAGGAGCTAGTTATAAGGAAATGGAATGGGGAAGAACGAGGGGGAAGACCGTTGCGAACCCAAGACTCATCAATGGCCCTCGCCGAGATGGTCCTCGCCGGGACTGTTTTGTTTAGGAAGCCAGGGTGGCACAAAACTGAGATCGGTCTACAATCCCAAAAGGAATGCTGAGGGGCCAACTGACGGATAAACCTGCAGGGGGCGGGTGCAAGAAGACGCGCCAAGGTAGCAAACCCGCCTGCTCGAAAAAGCCTCGCGGGTATGCCGCCGCCCTGGTTGGTCACTGCGCAATGATCTCGCACCGCATCTTCCCCTAAAAACACAAAGTGTCAAACCATGTGGCACCATACGTTGCGCCAACGGCAAGACTGATTAAATATTGAACGATCGATCAAAATGCAAAACCTCCGATGATGCGAACAGACACGCCAGAATAGTAAGCCCGGCTGCTTGAATCTGCCTCGCCGGTATGCCGCTACCCTGGTTGGTCGCTGCGCAGAGCTTTGCCAGCGGCTGACTTCCCAAATGCCAGCAAACATATAAATGACGTTCGCCGTATGTGACATGTCAGGCTCGCCGCCACGTGCACGGTGCGGCAGCCTGCCCTAGCGAGCATGCCGTAGCTGCGCCACTGTGCTCCACACCCCCCTGGGAGAACCCATCGCACCGACAGTCTCTCGAGACTTACGCCACGAAAGTTGTCGACGCCACGCTGTTTGTTCTCGACGCGACAAATGTTACAACGCCGACACAGCAAACCCGCGGCAGGCCCTGCGCCCCGCGCCCGAGTGGACGACGCCGGCGCCGCGGCGAACCCACGGCGAATCCACCGCGCCCGAGGCGGCGTTTGCTCTTGCGCCCACGGCGCCCTCTCAAAGACGGAAAGTCGCGCGTCGGAACAAACGGCGCGGCGACATAGATGCAGATATTCCCTCCGATGCGTGTACCTCAAGGAGGGTGGCGGTGTATAAAGTCGCTGGCTCTCAAGGCTAAAAGCAGGTTGGAACATCATAGGTCTCGTCTTGAGGAAAGCCCCCGCGTCCAGGCTCCGTTCTCCCCCAGGACCCGTTTCCCCCGAGTTGTCGTGTTTATGCGATTTGATGTTTCCCTGGGTATACAGTCAGCCCGTATCATAAGGATGCGCGGCAAGGATGCAAGGGCCTTGGAGGCCCATGTTACCGAAAGTCGCTGAGGATGTGCCGAAATTGCAATCCGTACTATGCGGGCTGACTAGATCCCTAAACCACTCCGGCATCGAACAAAATCGAACCCCCGACACCAAAAACAAATGCATCGTGTCTCTGACTCCTCCTGCAACTCCTGCAGCTGCAGCTGCTATGGCTCTTATCTGTTCTGCTGCTGCTGCTGCTGCTGGTCCGCCTCCTCCTTCTCCTCCTCGCACTCTTTGCCCCCTGGGTAGGTTCCCAACCCGTCCACCTCCCTCGTGGGGGGCACGTGGAGAGGGGGGGGGGGGTGGAAAAAGCGGTGACCGAGGGCTGGACCTGAGGATCCGATCTCGCGCATGCTCCTGCTGACTCCTTCCTCCTCCTCCTCCTCCTCCTCCTCCTGCCTCCTCCTCCTCCTCCTCCTCCTCCTCCTCCTCCTACTTCCCTTTCTCCCCGTCCACCTCCGCGACCTGTGGCGCAGGCTAAAATGATTACCGCTGCACCGCGGTTCCAACCTCGATCACTTCCCCGAGGGATCTTAGTTGCTGAATGAGGCAATGAGGTTTTGCGTAGAATCCATGAGCCCGACAGCGATGCAGAATAATGACAGCAGCATCAGAAACCCATGCCAAATGGTGCGCCCAAAGCCAGAAGGCTTGGCCTTGACCGCCTTGCGAATCATCCAGCCGAAGATTATTGGACTCACCACTCCAAGTACTGGGCCGCAAATGCTGGCGAACAAATTGAACACGAGGCTGAACTCCGTGATCAAAAGTGGGACTCCTATGGTGAACGCCACAACAAGAGTGCGCATTACGTAGTTCATGGTGGTTCCCACCTTCATGTTCTCTTTCCCGTAGGTCGTTCCCTGAAAGGCGAGAAAAACAGGTGCCAAAATCAGCGGGTAGCTGATGATCAGATTTACCACCACACAAAACGACATAGCTGTCGGCAAGATGATCCTCTCGCTGCCGGTCCAGTCTTTAGGCTTCAGAGTTTGAGCCTCCTCCCAATTCGCGGGATGGTATGTTAGAGAGTCCACTAAATTAGACTGGATGAAATTCCCGTAAGCATGGTACCCCATCACCATGACGCCGATGTACAGTGCCGTGACAATGATGATTGCAGACCTGAAGGACCTCATGAGGCGTTGCTTCTCTTTCATCTCGTCCATGATCGACGGTACATTGGCGATGCAAGCAAATGCACCAAATACTGTGGCTGTCAAACTCCCAAGCGACAGGAGGCCACCGGCTGGCCACATGTTGTGGAGCTCTTTCAAATCCTGTTCTGGCCATTCCTCCCAGACTTTCATGTCCATGATGCTGCAAGACACGATTATGATGCATGACCCGAACGCGGACGCGACACCAAGCGGCGTTAACTTCGCAATCGCGCTGACGTCTCGCATCATAGCCAAAAACCAGAGCAGCGGGGCAAGAAGGAGGACCCAGATACGGTAGCTTAGGGAAACGACAGGCGCCAGAATGTTCTGCACGTTCTGGCCCATTAGAATCACGAAGCCGCAGCTTCCGCCCACGAACCAAATTACCTCAGGGCAAGCAGAGACACAAGGATAGTGGGACGTACCGACCCCTAGTGGGAAAAGGGAGAATTGGGGAGGGCAAGAGGAAGAGGCGGGCAATGAAAGATCCGATGATAACTATCACTGTGCTCTGGCTGCCCTGAAGACCAGAAAAAATCGTATCAATTTCTCGCCAGCTGGGCCATAAGCCGCGCGACCGAAATCTTCGTAGGTATGGATATACGTGCTCGAGAACTTCAAGCCGCGACCGACAACGATATTGTTGGCCATCGTACTTCGGAAGAAGGCACTGCCAGCCTCCATCGTAGCGGCCGCAGTCACGAACATGAGGACAACGCAGAAAACCAGTCCGCCTGCCACTGGCAGCTGAGGTAATGCCATTATACCCGCGCCGATGATCGCCGTGATGAGGCTCATGGTTGCTTCCGTCGACGTGATGCCATGGTCCTCCCGGTGACAATCAGATGGATGACAACCCGCCCTCTAGTCGCCTCCTTCTCCCGCCCCACTCGTCATCCACATCCTCCGTCACAACCTCCGCGTCCGCCTCCGCCCCCACACAACCTCTGCCTCTGTCTCCAATTCCTCCTCCTCCTCCTCCTGCTCCTTGAAACATCTCCGTCGAACCACCAGACATGTCGGTATCTCGGATCGGAGAGGGGTGGACTTCCTGTGGTCATGGGTGCGGAGTGTCGGACCCTGGGGAAGGCTCCCATTCGAGCGGGTCAGACAACGCGCAACAGTAGCCCCCCTCAGGGCCCACCCTATGGGTATGGATGTGTGCGCTGTTCCTTCGTCAATCATGATCCCATCGACGACCTGGAGGACGAGATGGAAGAACCAAGAGGTACTGCATCTGAGCACGCTCGGGGGCTCAGACGTTGTACGCCGGAATTTGGAAGGGCCCAAAGAAAGGTCGCAAGAAAGGGTGCCCCATGGGTTGTACGGCTGCAGGTGCCCCGGTGGGTTGGCTGCACGACTCGAAGTATCCCTGACTCCAGCGAGCGAGCGCGAAGGGTCACGTTCATGATGGACGGGCAGATCTTCCTCGCCAGGGAAAAAGCACAAGACAACTAGGGACAGGCAGCTCGGCATACTTTGGCGCAGGTTCTGACGCCTGTGACAGGCGAGATCGTGGCGAATACTTACAAAAGGGCAGCGCGACATGCTAGGCAAGCTTGGAGGGCTACCGATTACATTGGCAACCACCGCAGCAGCAGGATCGATGAAGGATACCCACAAGTACCTCTCCGAGGAGGAGTGCATGAAGAACAACGACGGGTGCATCACGACAAGTGACGGGTGCTTGCCCCCTCAAGAGCATCGGAAGTGGGTGAAGGGATGGCGAGCTCACCATGATCGTGCAGAGGAGCTTCAGCATCGATTGGACGCCCTACGACACAAGGCCAAGCATCTGCTGGGTACCAGGCCGTTCGATGCTCGATATCATGTGAGGCTATGCTGATCAACTTTCCATCAAGCACCAGCTTAGGTGCGGACAATGGGCGCCAGATCAATTGAAGGCAGTCAGTCCGCAATGCCCACATCGTCGTCTGATGCTCCTGACCCTATGTGATCGCGGATGACTTGGCCACATCAAGTGATGCCGTTGTGGCATGCCCTACCCCCCAAGGCGGACGAACAACTTGCGGGAGAAGAGCTCCCCATAGGTCCGCTGCCCATGCTGAGACGGGTTCGGGGAGAGGCGACATAAAATACTCTGACTGAATGGTCCGATCGTTGTGCAAAGCTCTGGGATGCATCAAGCCGCGCACGGCCTAACAATCGGCCGTGATCACCCACGCCCTGGACCAGTGCGGGGCGAACTTTGATGAAGCGAGCTAGTCGCGTCATTATGCCAGGACGTTGGTTAATGTTCGGATCTGCTGGACATGTCTCCACGCCAGCAATTCCACGGGTGGGTGTTTTCCTGCAGTTGAGCTGCACATGTGCACCACCTGCTATGAGTCCCAGACTGGCCAGAGTAAGCAATGTCTGCAGCTACCTGACCAGTTTTGACAATGGTATTGTCCATGGGTGCGGAAAAAGGCTGACCACTGCGTGCTTGCTCCAAGTGTCCCTGTCATTGATCAGGTACATAGTGATGTTCCGATTGCACGTCTGCGCCAGCCTGTTGATGGCATATCCGTGCAGGTGCCTCGTTCAGCCTGTTCCGGGGTTACCTGGAGGCCTGCCCCAAGATCTCGGGGAACTCCACAACCCTGGTCATTGACCCCAAGGGCGCTGACATGGTATATGCGCCCCTGGGGATAATGAGTGTCACCACCAAGCGTAGTAGGACCATGAAGGACCTGTGAACCGGCAGCACCATGGGAAACTCGCGAACGCAAGCTGTGGACACAGAGCGCGGACGCATTGGAAGACTGAAGGCCGAGATCCCACAGCGCAGAGCTCAGGCTGGCTCTGGCGGACCTTGCTGGCTCTGGGAAAAAAAAGACGGGTCACGTCCATGGTGATGCTGCTGGTGTACGAGGAAGGGTATTGGATTTATGTTGCTCCCATCGAGCACCTAGAAATAATTTCGAGCACCCACGAAAGTCCCGAAAAGATGTCGAACGAGTATCGCCTCCCAGGGCCCGACGCGTGAAAACTTTCCAAATTCGGTGCTTTCCGGGTGCTCAAATTTTGTCATGCGATCACGGCTAAAACAGGTCGGAATCTTATACGAAGGAACCATTGGATGAGGAATCCAAGGTCTGGAAGCCACTGGAACACCACATGCGGCTTGACCATGGACACCACACGGCCTGAAACTTCTGGAAACATTCCTTGGCGGACGCGCCCGCCGCAAGAGGGGGGGGGGCCCTTGGGGCATCTGTGTCAAGCGGCAGTCCAATGAGCGGCCCACCATCTGGGTTAGCAGCCCCTCATGGGGGGTCGGCGGACGCGGCATTTTCCGCGAGCGGGCTCAAACACCCGGGCAAGATGGTGGCAGCGACAGACCCGATGGGGGCCACGATCCTCACCCTGCGGTCCCTTGGCTGGGTTGGGATTGAACCAGATCGGTGGAAGGACCCAGACGACTTCAAGCCCGCTCCGGCGGGGGATACCACTGAGTTGCGCAAAGCCCTTGTCGACTCAGTATTTCGTCTGGTATGGGCCCAGACTGGCTGGCACTCTGAAGGAGGCAGCTTGACTGAGGGTGCCTCACAACCCTTCGCGTGCATCCCCGAATCATTCCGGATTGAATTCCAACGTGGGTCTGTTACTGTAGAGATGGTCATGAAACACAAGTTGAAACACATATTATGACGATCTGTGCATATGCGGTCTGGCGAATCGGGGCGGCATCAACGCGACGCCAAAGGGGGGTCGTGGACTCGAAGTTCGGGCGCACGATTACCCATATCATGAAGTTCTGCGACCGGTCACTGTGTTCTGGGGGGTGCACGGACACGCAAAACACTGTTCAGCTAAGCGTTAGCTGGCGCCCGCCTCAAACTCATGCCCCTTTCCCTCCTCCTCCCAATATCCCTTCGCTGTGGCCCCACCCTCCTCATGCCCCTCCGACTACCCGCAGTCCTCATCAGGCCCCTCGTCCACATTGTCACCCCCCCATGTGCCGATTCATGTCATTCCTCGTCGTCCTCTTCCGCCGGATGAATTCCCCCATCGGCCACGTGCTTGCCCTCCTCCCATTCTCTGCACGCCCGAATGCAGATCATGCCCCCTCCTTCTGCCCCCCCCGCCTGCCTCGTCCTCGTGATGCTGACACCGATCATGCAGCTCCTCATGGGCCCACTTCCTCCCGTTTCGTCCAGTCCCGTTCATCCCCGGCCCCTTGGCCACCCCTCCTATCGAACCTCTTCGTTCCCACAACCCACCATACCCACCCCCCCGCGCCTTTTGTACTCCCAGACCACGGCTTCCCGCTGGACCAGCCGGGCGACCCGCGGAAACTCTCGCCCAGTGACCACTCCAGCGAGCGGCGCGCAACAAATGCACAGTTAGAGTCACGAGCTGTGTATTTCGACCGCGTACGACGCCCCCCTGGACCAGCCAAAAGAGAAACGTGAAAGTTCCCGCCCAATCAACACCACATGCGAGGGGCACACTCCAAATACACAAATGGGAACAAGATCTGTGTACACAGATCACACCACGATCTGTGTAGACACTGGTCCCACACACGAAAATACACAGTTGAAGACACAAAATACACAGATCACATTTTGATCTGTGTATTTTGAACATGTAAGCGCTCGCCACCTCGAGGATGCCCCGACTTTGCCAACCCAGAACCGAAGACAACATGCCCAGCTAGGGGGGGATGCCAATGCACACTTCCCCAGCCCAGGGCGCCCCCGAATGAGCTGCAAATGCACGTTTCCCTGGCCCGAGGCGGCCACGGTGAATCGCGGCACCAAAGCGGCCCCCAACGGCTCGAAGGCGTCCCAAGAGGCCTCGAATGACCCCAAAGAAAGCCGCACAACAATCCGAGAACACGAGAGGTGTCACATGTCATGGACATCTTAACAGTCAAAGCTCCACGCGTCGCCATACAAACCGCTGCACTGGCAAGGGTGCGGGCCTTGCCGCAGGCACCTATACATTTACATGTAAGCAATGAGACTGCGCTCGGCGGCCGTGCCGCCCGCGTTTGGAGTGCGCCCCGAACGCTCGCATTGGCAATCCCTTCTGTTTGGTTGCGCCGCTGTGCTCGGATATCGAAAAGGCGATATACCGCTGATGCGGGCACGCGGCGCCAGGGACTTCACTTGTCGAACAAGGAGGGAAGACGAGGTAGGACGACGAACGGTGGAGCAGGGAGGCAAAGGTGAACGAGGAATAATGAGGGAGGTGGAAAGGGGCGCCCCCCCGCCCGAACCGCGGACGCTTGCGATACCATCCAAGGGGGGGAAGAAAGGAAGGGGAACGGAGCGAGGGCGACGACGACGACGACGGGAAGCAAGCTGTCCTGTGTCCGCATATAGCCATATGTTTGCGATTCGGGTGCGCGCGCTTTCTTCGAAACGCGTCAAGTCCGACCCACATTGAATCCACTAATTCCTCCAAACTGTGTAAACACCCAGTCCTCTGTACCCCCTCCAGGAGACGAGTATGCAATTACAAAGGAGCTGGGACCCTAGAGGGAATGCTCGTGCCACGGTTTAGAATTAAGATCGGCAGAGACGCGTTGGGTTCAGCACGGACGGGCTGTAGGACCAGTGCGATTTACCAGGCCCAGACAGCACACGGCACAGCGTACATGAGTGTCCGTATAGTGCACAACCTGATACCCCTGGATCGCTCGAGCCAAAGAGCTCTGTGAGCGAACGTGTAAGAGACCTGGATGACGGCATCCAAACATAAAAGGGAAACCAGAAGACATCGATACCGATACTCCCCAGACCTCGCCTGGGGTGCGTTCGGATCGAGGCAAACATCCAGCCGTGCCGACGAGGGCCTCCCAGGAGGCCCAACGGGCGAAAACGAGGGAAGGGCAGCAATATCGGTACCTGCTCCTCCTCTAACCCATTACCTGAATCCCCAGAGCCCCCCGACTTCGTGAAGTTTCCCCCCGACCCGAGTCGTTTCTGTTGACGGCCCTGGGGCCCTGGCGAGGGCAGAACGCGAGGGGGTCTGGGCCCATGCATTGCAACCACATCCCTCGGCGATGCGGGTCCATCCTCCGACCCCATACTTTACATTGAGGGCCTAGATCCTCCTCCTCCTCCGCCTCCTCCTCCTCCTCCTCTCCTCCTGCTCCTCCTCCCCCTCCTCCTCCTCCTCCTCCCACTCCTCCTCCTCATCATCCTCCTCCTCATCCTCCTCCTTCTCCCCCTCCCCCCCTATTCCTCCCTCCCCCTCCTCTCCCCTCTCCTCCTCCTCTCCTCCTCCTCCTCCTCCTCCTCCTCCTCCTCCTCCTCCTCTCCTCCTCCTCTCCTCCTCCTTCCTCCTCCTCCTCCTCCTCCTCCTCCCTCCTCCCCCCCCCCTGATGCCTGGACCCCTCCTGCCTGCTGCTCATCTTTGGCTTCTATCCTCTCCTCCTCCTCCTCCTCCTCCTCCTCCTCCTCCTCCTCCTCCTCCTCCTCCTGTTGCTCCAGCTTGCGGGGGCCCCAGGAGGGGGTGGCGTGCTGGGGCCCTGGTGCGGCGTGCCCCCCTCCCTGGGCCAACCCGGGGCCTCTCGGGGATGCCTCTATGGGCACTCCTCCTCGGGGCCTCCCGGGGGGGTGGGGCCCTCCTTGGGGCCTGCCGCAGGACCTCCCTGGAAGCCTCCGGGGGCCGCCTCTGGACGGAGGGCTCGCAGCTCAGAGATCCAGTGCATTGACAAAAATCAAGACGGAGGCTTTCCTATGTTTTCGGCCTCTAGGGGCCCTCGCCCCGGGGCGGTCGCAAAACGACTCAGGATGAAAAGCCGGTCCTGTGGGGAATGGGTCGAGACTTCCGAGGACCCCGCACTGAAAAAAATACGGCATCGGATCTCTGGGAATGGCCGCTCGGGCTCCCCCTCGGGGGCCCATCTTGGCGACCTCTTGGGGCCCTGCGGAGAGCTATGGCCCCGCATTGAACAAAAACACGGCATCGGATCTCTGGGAATAGCGGCTCGGGCTCCCCCTCTGGGGCCCATCTTGGCGACCTCTTGGGGCCCTGCGGAGACCTCCGGGAGACAGGCGCGGAGGAGCCCGGGCGGTTTGGTGCTGTGCCGTAATCGTCCTCCTGCTCCTCCCAACCCGCCCGCCAAACCCCTCCCCCCACGTCCCTCCCTTTCCTCTTCCGACCCCCTCCCTTCACAACTACACGATATGAATACTGCTACTCTCCTCTCTCCCCTAATGACGTCCGGAAGATGTTCGGCACCCCTCCTCGTACTGTTTTAAACACAGGATTCCCAGAAGACGGTTTTCGCTTGGGATTAGTTTAAAAATGCTGCTTCGCTGCAGCGGTGGCCTCATGTTCGGGCTTCCGCTGCTCGTTCCGAATCGTGCTCCCGCTGCAGCGCTGGCCTCATTTCCGCGCTTCTGCTCGTTCCGAATCGTGCTCCCGCTACAGCGCTGGCGTCATTATTTCCAGTGCCATGCCACGGCATGCAATGAAATGCAATGTAATGTTCCACTGTGCGGTGCCATGCCTTCTGCAATGCTACGATATGCGATGCTTGACTACGCAGTACCACGCCATGCTATGCGATACTACGAATTGATCTTCAACACCATGCTATGCCATGTTGTGTTATGTGCCGCTGTGCGATGCCATTATTTGCGTTGCAATGCTTTTGGTATGCAATTCTTCACTACGCGCCACGCCATGCTATGACATACTACGCTCTGCCGTGCTC